TCTGGTTCCACTCCAAAACAACCAAATTTCAACTGCTTTCGCGATGGAAATACCGCCAGGGACCACTTATTTAAAAGGTGGTTTGACAAATGATGGGAATTGCTTATAATGGACAAAATACCCATGCAGATTAGAGCTGCTTCGCATCCTCATTTCATTTCACGGATGATTTATTGTGAAATGGATCCTGCCTCTAGGTCCCCATCTGGAATGCTCTCCCTCGGGAAACATGCCTGGCACCATTGCTGCCAGCTTCTAGGCACTAAGCGAAGACATTTTAGTTTACCCAGGCTTTTGTGGTCAAGTTAGCCTCTGAAGTGGTGCTTGTCTTTTAATGGAGAGGGTTCAGTGATGCCATCGGGGGGGGGGGTGAGGGGACACAGGAAGGGCAGTTAATGATAGAGTACAGCAATGAGGGGGGAAATTGCAGGGGGTACTTGCACAAACACCCCCCATCTGGCACTGCCCATGGGTAGGTTAGCATTTGTCCTTCTTGCTGTGTTGATGGATGAGCATTTTAGGAATTTCGTATTGTAGGTGACTTTAAATTTGGCTTTTAATGGGTTTTATCAGTCCGTATATTATTTTGTTGCCAATTTGCTTTGAAACATTCCTTTTTTTGTACAAAGCAACTAACAAGGAAGGGTGTGTTGGTGTACATAGAAGCTAGTTTACTGTACAATGTTAAAATTTAGATTTGTTGCTCTACTCACTTTTGCTTCCCCACTCTCTGCACTGGCCTGTGGCCTCTGAAAGGCTTCCCAGATATAAATGCATCCTTTGGGCTGAAAAATGTTTCCCACCTCATCATGCAGAGCTCCCCAAAGATCATTCAGCCTCAATGAGAATGCTATAGCAACAAAGGCTATGCACACACATTTTATTCTAGAACCAATGGAGAGTACTTGTCTTTTTTCCTGTGTAGTCGATGCACAATCTAGATCGACTGCAAAAAAATAATTAAGTTTATTTGGGTTTTCAGATTTACAAACAATCATAAAAAAATAAATAAGACAATATCCATAAATCCCCTTTGACTTCCCTCCTCCTGTTTCGTGGGCCTTATGTTCTCCTGCATCTTCTCTGTTAATCCAATTCTATTAAATCTTCCATAAAACCATAGTCCAACTTTTAACTACAAGTGTCATTCTAATCCTGCTAATAGTTTTAATTGCTGCAATTTGTGTTTTTTTTTTTTTTTGCCCCTAAGGAGCACTTCATTTCATTTCACATCACACAAGTCACAAAGCTTCCAAAAACAAATAACAATAATACAAAAGAACATCACAATTACAACATAAACCATATAAAATAATTAACAAATCATCAGTAAATCAATTACAAATCATAAGCAAAACAACCTCCTTCTATAAAGCACTGTTCAAAACAAAACAAAACAAAACAAAAAGCTAAACAGCACAACCTCAAGAAAAGTCATATTATGAAATCCACAAAGCGTTACATCACTCATAATCCAGAAAACAATATTAACAACACTAACAAACTAACTTCTTGAGAAACTGGCTCCATTCAAAAAATAAGAGCTCATTGCAGGCTTGTTCTGCATTACCTGGCAGTGTGTCCATTGAAAATAGATGAAAAGAGACACAAGCAGTTCCCAGCAATTGGGGGCAGAGGGTGGGGGAGCTATCCACACCTGCCTAAGGATGTGGGTGGGCGTATACCAATATTGCAGTCACCACTTCATTCTTGATTCATCTGTGGCATGTTCAGCAGGGAGTGAAAGGTATGGATAATCTAATCAAGGGGAGCATTTTCAAATGCATTATTATCTAACCATATCCCCCCTTGTGGGATGACAGGATCTAGAAACAATTACAGTGGAAGCAGAACGTTGAGCATGGATGGTTCCAGGCTCAAACCCTACATTTTTGATCCAGAAGTGAGCTAGTGTGGGCACAGCCCAAAGTTTCCTATATCACTTCTCAGTAAGTGTTGTACGAGCCTTCGTGAGCAATTCTTGCTTATTTCCCCAGATGTAACAGGTAGCATTGTTTGGAATTGTCCTTGGCTGCTATAGTTTGCCAGGGAAAAGGCTGGCCTATAAATCAGAAGCTGGAATCCTATTTACACTGATTACTATTGTAAGCACAATAGAACGCCAATGAATTTGCACATGGGTAAACATGAAAAGAGTTGAGCTGCGAAGAAATGGTGGACAAAGCACTAGCAACGGTTCAGACTTGCTGCTGCACAGCAGTGAGGCTGATCTGAGCAGGGGTGGTTAGCCTGTGACCCTCCAGAGCACAGCCCTCAACATTCCTGGCCACTGGCCACTAGGGTTGGTGAGAGAACGTCTGGAGGGCCAAAGGGTTCCCCATCCCTAGAGTAAAGAAAGCGTTACTTGGGTAGAAATAAGCATTTTGGCCACTAGATGTCTCTGCCGCTCTGCAGGCAGCAGGATTTGGGCTGAAATTTATCAGCCACTCTTTGAAGGCAAAAGAGATTTCTCACACAAATAGGGTTCCGCCCTCCTCCCCATCAGGTTGGATGCTAAACAAACAAACAAACAAACAAACAAACAAACAAACAAACCCAAAACCCAAATAGGGGTGAGGAGGATTTTTTGTCTACTTTAGTACACGTTCAATTTCTCTTCCAAATTCCAAGCAACATTCATATATGGTAGAAATAGCGGAAAAGATGCCCCAGTTGTGCTTTTTGGCACAAGAACTCATTTCTTGTAACAAGGGAATTTGTAAGCCACTGCCTAGCTCTTGTTGCAAAAGAAGATCTTGCAAAAAGTTACATAAACTTTAAGGACTCCATACCTGTTTTGCCACAGGAGACCAAGGGTGGAACAACCCCAGGGTGTGGAACCAAATCTAGAATGCCACACGGTTTCAACACCAATGCCCACTGTCCCTGACCATTGGCTATGCTGGCAGCCTTAAGAGAGAAAGAGATGTGTCATTTCCAGCACACTGGGAAGTTATTAACTAATCACACCCCAAAAACAGTTGCTGGGAGTATCAGGAATTGCTTACAAGCAGACCTCTTTCTCACAAGTAGACCAACAACTCTTGGTTCCTCGACCCGTACTGAGCCGTCACTCTTCGGCTTGAATCTGAAGCTTTTGGAGTGCCAGTGGCTCCACCTCCGCCTCTGATAGTTTCAGTTATCAACCTAAGGGGATCCTTAGCATTGGATTCAGGGGGTCCTGCCTGCTCCTCAAGGTCCTTGATTTGTAGGGGTGTCTGCTCCGTCCTCTGATGACTCCACGGCCAGTGTCAGGCCAGGACAAGGCAGGGCAGTTTGTTTCCGGCAACTGAAGATGTCTTTCTTCAAGACACTGGCACAGGCGGCCAGGAACAGGTGAGAGTAATGGAGACTTGAGTTCCATTGATTCACACACTGGCACGGAGCATTTATTAGCTCCCACTGTGTGCTGTGCTGGACTCCCGCGGCAGGTACAAGCTGTGATGTCCTATGAATGCATTCTGCCTTTCTGCCAGCAACTGAGACAAGCTGATGAATTCCAAACACCTAAATCACGGAGAAGGTCTCAGAAGCTTAGACGCAGAGGCAGGAGCTCAGAGGCAGGAACGGCTTCCTCTACGTTACAGCAAATCCACCTCCCCTTGCTGTTGTGCCAAGAGTTTCTTTTAGCAGAAATAGGGCAGTTAAAGATGCCACTCAGCCTTGTTTATTTTAACTTTGGTTTTATTTATTTTACGTGCCTTCCAAGGCAAAGCCCTCCCAAGGCAGCTCAGAATGCAGAAATAAAATGCATGAAATCCATAACAATAACAATCCCCCAAATGCTTCGTGCCCAGAATCTTAGTGATACTGGAACATAGGAAGAGGCCTTATTCTAAGTCGCTAGTCCATCTAGCTCAATATCGTCTACATTGACATACAGTGCCTCTCTCAGGTTTCAGGCTAGGGACATTTCCACCCCATCCAAGGATTGAACCAGAGACCTTCTGAATACAATGCAGATGCTATGCTGCTGAGCTATGGCACTTCAATCGTGCACAACAACCCTGTAAGGTAGACCCACATTTGAAATCCCAATATTGCAGGTGGGGGGGGCAGAAGTCAAGAGATACCAGGCTTGTCTAAGGCTACCCATTGGGGCAACATTTGAGCCAGGGGCTCTCAGCACACACTCTTAGCTACTATTTTTGGGTCAGATTCAATCACATGCCAGCAAACTCTGGCAAATACATATATTTATTTGGAGGGATGTCCTTGTTGTAAGGGACGCGGGTGGCGCTGTGGGTTAAACCACAGAGCCTAGGACTTGCCGATCAGAAGGTTGGTGGTTCGAATCCCCGCGACGGGGTGAGCTCCTGTTCCTCGGTCCCTGCTCCTGCCAACCTAGCAGTTCAAAAGCACATCAAAGTGCAAGTAGATAAATAGGTACCGCTCCAGCGGGAAGGTAAACAGCGTTTCCGTGAGCTGCTCTGGTTCGCCAGAAGCGGCTTAGTCATGCTGGCCACATGACCCGGAAGCTGTACGCCAGCTCCATCGGCCAATAAAGCAAGATGAGCGCTGCAACCCCAGAGTCGGCCACGACTGGACCTAATGGTCAGGGGTACCTTTACCTTTACCATCTTGTAAATCCTCTATTCCTCCCTCTAACAGTCAACGCAGGTAGTGAGTGTTAACAAAAATGGAACCCAAGTTGAGAAATCTTGGGGGAGCCTAAGGAGGCACCTTCGCCAACAGCAAAGCAGCCAATTGAGGACTGAGCATGCTTAATAGTCACAGAGGTCAAATCTACACCATACATTCAAAATGCATGGCTTCTCCCAAACAATCCCAGGAACTGCAGTTTATCACACACAGTTACGTTTCCCAGCACCCTTAACAAAGTACAATTTCCAGCACTCTCCACATGCATGATATCTTGACTGAGGGGGCACCTTTTGCAACATCTCTTGGGCCAGCCTTGCTTCTGATGTTCACCCAAGTGCTTCAAGCCATTTCGCTGCAGCATCGGTTTGCTTTCATCCTCATATTTGCTCTTTCAGCAGCATAAAGAAGGAAGGACCGGGAGAAGCGTATGACCTCGTTCCATGATGTCCCCAAACAGATATGTACTGTTGGACTCGCTCTCCTCAACGACTGCTTGCCAAACACTATCCGGTCTCAGATTTCACATCTGCAAAGAGGTCATGGAGAAAGAGAGACAGAGAAGGGGAGAGAGCATCTTCAGATCATCTTGGCTCCTGATCAGTCCAACACAGACATATATATATGCATCAGGGTGCCCCAGGGATATGGTGCTTGGAGCTCAATGCCAGCTGCTTATACACTACCAAGGAGTTCATGGGGACTTGTTTTCAGAATGGTTGTGTCCTTTCACTAGGAGGAAATGTGGCCAACACCATCCCACTCCCTTTTGTGCCTACACCGCAGATCCAGCGGATGTGAACAATTTGTGGCATTTACTTACATTTCATCCCACATGCCACCAAGTCAGTGAATGGCAGATTAATGCCACAAAGGCATAAGCAGCAAGCAAGATAACTTCAATAAAGTACAATAAATTAATAATCAATCAAAGAAGAAGAAAAAAAGAATATAATCAGGGTTTTCTCACCCACCCCCACGATAGATAGATGATAGATAGATAGATAGAGAGATAGATATAGATAGATATAGATAGATGATAGATAGATAGATAGATAGATAGATAGATAGATATAGATTAGATAGATAGATAGATATAGATAGATATAGATATATAGGAAAAGGAAGAAACAGTGTTCCTGCTAATAATAAGCTCCACTCCTGAGAGTCTGCATGACAATTTCACCTCTCCTTGGAGAAATTTTTGTAAAACGATTCCCCCCTACACACAATTTCTTTGCCCACAAATAGGATGGAATATAGGAACATAGAAAGCTACCTCATACCAAATCGGAGTGTTGGTCCATCTAGCACACCATCCTGTTGACACCGACTCATTGGAGGTCCATGAGTTCTAGTGCTATGGGACAGGGAGAGGAAATTTTCTCTATCTGCTTTCTCCATGCTATGCACTATCTTATACACTTCTATCTGACTTCTATCTAACATCTGGAGGGCCAAAGGTTCCCCACTCTTGCTCTAGTTCTCCACAAGGAGAACTATTCTTCCTCTTGTCCCACTGCTTTCCCCCAAGGAAAAATACTCTTTAGCGCTTAACTAGAGCAAATGGCAATTTAGGTTTTCCCCAGATTGCCATTTGTTCTGATCTATTACTAAAGAGCAGGTTTTCCCTTGGAAAGGAGTGGGGCAAGGGGGAAACTGCTCAAACCCATGCCTACAAAGTGTGGGCCAACTGGAAAATTGCTTGGAGTCATGCTTTCTAGGCACAGCACAAGTGGAAGACAGTTTAGTAAAGGTGGACTGGAGGCAGAGGGGTTAAAAGAGCCACTTCCAGCCCTCATTGGAGCAAGTTGCTCAGCAGGAGCTCTCCATGGTGCTGCAGCCTTGCCCTACGGGCTCCTCTGCAAGACCAGAACAGGACACAATCCCCCAAGTCACATGGCCCTCTATAACAAGACATGTTACATGGATTTACAATGGTTCACTCAGGGTACCCTTTCTCTCTCCACCTCCCATCACCACTATCACAAACTATTTGGCAAAAGACCTGTGTGTATGGTGGGCATGCATGCTGCAAGCCTAATGTGTGAAATGCAATTCCAAGAAAGAGAGATTTCCTCAAAATATAAAGGTAACCATCTTGGCCCATCAGGGGAAAAAATCCAAAATCCTTCTTAGTGCAATGCTTTTACCAGGGCTAACAAAAATTCCAAATAGGCACAAAAGCTTCCAAGTTCCACAGAACTATTCATAAGGCTAGAACACCTGTTGCCAGTTCGCTGCCCTCCAGCTGCTTTAAACCATGACTCCTATCAACATTACTATGCTGCTTGGGGCTCATGGAAGTTGCAGTCCCAAACAACCTGGAGGGCACCAGGTTGCAAAAGGAAGAACTAGATGGCAAACAAAACTATAGGGGGAAGAGCTGGGTGATGGGGAAGCCATGGAGTCTGCACCTGGTCACAGTCCTAAGGTGGAACGTGGGAGGAGGTAGCAGCCATTCAAAGCGAAGCACAGCTGGGTGCTACATGCTAAACCAACATCCCCATCTCAGTGCAGTTTGGGTTTCCCCCATTTCAGTGCAATTTAGCTTTCTGCCACGAGATGGCAGATTTCTCCCAGGGATGAGAAGCCCACTCCGCAGCTCCACTCTGGAGGAGCAAGGTTTTTTCCCCTTCTTCTCCACTTTCTCTTCTCCCTGCCCCCACTTTCTGTTGAGAGATACATTCCCTGGGGATAATCTGTCAGGGGCTGCATACCAGCAGTGGGCAGCCGGAGTCAAAAGTGGGTGGTGCCAGGGCCAAACTGGGGCTGGGGTGTGGGTTGCCCCCTTTCTCTCTGCTACTCCTTTTTCTCACTGGTCTAAGCCAACACTCATATAAAAAGGGGGAATAGACCTAGACATCCCTGGCCCCTGGGCAGCTCTTCAGCAGGTGTAGCTGGAGATGGGGCACGGAGGTGGCATTCTGCAAGGGGAAATACCTGAGCAAGGGCAGATGGATCACGAAGCAAAGCTGGTGTGGAGTGAATAGGCCTGAGGACACAGAATCACAGAATTGGTGGAGTTGGAAGGGGCCACAAGGCCCATCTGGTTCAACCCCCTGAAATGCGAGAATCTGTTGCCCAATGTGGGGCTCAAACCCACAACCCTGAGATGAAGAGTCTCATGCTCTACTGACTGAGCTATTCTGGTGATGGGCAGGCACAGGTACATAATGGCTGTTTCAGAACTGTTGGCAGAAGCAAGTTCTATGATACATCCTCTGCCTGAGGGGGAGGGCAAGTCTGTGCAGAAAGCAACTTCGGTGGTTTGTAGCCTAAGAACACAACCTTAAGAGAGTAGTATGCCAGGGACTGCTGAGAGAGAGAGAGAGAGAGAGAGAGAGAGAGAGAGGGCATGCACTGAACTGGTTTGAAACTTCCGCTCACCAGCTAATGGGCAGAGAATTTAGTCCTGCTGGCTGCTGCTTTGTCAACTTGTTCCCTGCAGAGAGTACACTGGTGAGGCAAACCCTACAGAGGCTGCCTCTGCCTCTCCTCCCCGACCCCACTGCCCAGCCACTCCATCTTTTGCTGGTCCCAGATCATTCAGGGTGGGCTGACCTGACCCAGGACAACCTGAGGCTGTCTCATCCCGATCCAGTCAAATCTCAGGTGTATGCACACAGTCAATAGGGTGCCCTTCAGTTTTGCCCCAACCTAAAAAGGCCGCCTTCTTCCAGTACTGCCCTGAAGTAGTTTTATGTAGACTCTTGGGCTTAACGGTCTCACAGTTCTCACCTAAAATTATATACCACTTAATGCCAACAAAGGTCCGTATAGTAAAAGCTATGGTTTTCCCAGTAGTGATGGATAGAAGTGAAAGCTGGACCATAAAGAAGGCTGATTGCCGAAGAATTGATGCTTTTGAATTATGGTGCTGGAGGAGACTCTTGAGAGTCCCATGGACTGCAAGAAGATCAAACCTCTCCATTCTGAAGGAAATCAGCCCTGAGTGCTCACTGGAAGGACAGATTCTGAAGGTGAGGCTCCAATACTTTGGCCACCTCATGAGAAGAGAAGACTCCCTGGAAAAGACCCTGATGTTGGGAAAGATGGAGGGCACAAGGAGAAGGGGATGACAGAGGATGAGATGGTTGGATAGTGTTCTCAAAGCTACCAGCATGAGTTTGACCAAACTGCGGGAGGCAGTGGAAGACAGAAGTGCCTGGCGTGCTCTGGTCCAGGGGGTCACGAAGAGTCGGACACGACTAAACAACTACACAACAACAACAACAAATGCCAGAATGGACTTCTAAGCAGTTAACAAGGATAAGAAACCAGTTGCATCTCCGGGAAGAACTTCCTGCCTCAACACTCTCGCTTCTGGGTTCGGCTTGCCCCGCCTCCAGGTGGCACGTCCTGATGAGGTCACACTTGCAAGCGCACATAGACGAGCCACCCATCTCAGTGTCTAATCCCCTTTTAAAGTGATGGTGGCTGTACAGTACCTCCAGCATAGAAAGCTTCTGAATACCAATAGCTGGAGTGAGTGCTGCTGCACTCATGTCCAGGTTGTGGCCTTCCCATAGGCATCTGACGGGCCCCGTTGGTCTGATCCCTCAGAGCTCTTCTCATGTGCTTGCACATGTTGTAAGACTTGTGAGCAGAGGAAAGCTCCACCTGCCTTAGGATCCAAACCCAGATTCTGCCTGGTCCCATAATGGCAGCATCTTATTTCAGATCACTGAGGTTGCTTAAATCAATAGAGAACAACTAGATTGCTTAATTCTCCATTTCAATGTATAATAATAATAATAATAATATCATCCATCTGTACAGAATCATGATGGCACATCATGGAAGGAAAAGCTAAAAGCACTCACTGTGAAACAGTGAAACATGTTGGGCTCTTGACCCAGTTTCTCCCAAGCGCCCTCTCCGGCATGTGGTGCCCATTCTGCACTTTGGTATACCAGAGGGCAATGAAACAGGCCAGACAACAGCTAGAGAGCAAGTGGCAAAAGGCACATTGCAAAGCTGACCAAGCCTGGGTGAAGCAACATCATCCTGCTTACTGCACAGGAGTATGGATGTCAAAGAACGACCACTTCTCTGCCTCCATTGCATCCCAAAGCAGATGTCCAGTGGAGCTTTCTTTATTATTATTATTATTATTATTATTATTATTATTATTCTCCAGGGCTTGTTTATGCTCCGGCCCCCCTCAGTGTAGAGTGACCAGGGGGGCTTGTTTATATTGACTCTATGGAATCAAGTTTTAGATGCTTTGAAAGCCCATTGTGACCTTGAGCCAGTCGCTGCCTCTTGTCTACCTCACAGAGATGTTGCGGGATAAAATGAGGAGGAGAACAAGCACCTTGCAGGAAAAAAAGATATAAATGCAGTAAATAAATAAACATTGCATTTCTCCCTAGGAGAGTTAGGTTGGTTTTCCACCCACATGATGGCAAATGCAACTTTTCTCCCCCAAACAAACAAACCTGGGGGCAAGAGTGGGTTTCAGATTTCGACACGGCAACAAGAACAAACATTTGCAATAAATAATCATGGGAAATGATTTGACTCATAGCAGAGAGAGAGAAAACTCAACAAAGCAAAAGACTGGTGGTCTGGTCATGTAATTCACAAAAAGCAGCAAGAGCTTTATCAGAAGTAAGCAGTGAATATAATATGAGAAGAGCTGTCCCAGCATCATGTTCTCACAGTGGCCAGCCAGATGCCTGTGGAAAACCTGCAAACAGGAGCTAAGCGTAAGAGCTCTCCCTCCCCTCCTGCAGTTTCCAGCAGCTGGTATTCAGAAACATAGTCGTTGTGGCTAGAATTCATCAATAGCCTTCTCCATGTATTTCTCTAATCCTCTTTTAAAATCATCCAAGTTAGTCGTCATCACTGCGTCCTGTGGGAGCTAGTGAAAGAATGTCTGCCCAGCTTCTGAACAAGGACCATACACCTGTGCAAAATCTCACTCGACATCCCA